GCATACCGGCCGTCCTGCATTTACTTATGTAGGAGCCAGGCTGGCCTGTTTGCAGGTATTAAACTAGCATACCGGCCGTCCTGCATTTACCTATGTAGGAGTCAGGCTGGCCAATATATATGTACATAGAGCGAGGAAAGCCAGTTTATACTCAAGTCATAACTTATCACCAGGCAGTGCGAGAGTCTAGACAAGCATATGTAATTACTGTACAAGATTGACTAGCAATGAAGACAATGGAGGATACAAGATCATATCTTCTGGGATCTCTTAGAGGGTTGCCTCGCCCTACCTGATCTACGAACCACAGGCTCAGTCCTAGGCTTCTTGGACTTACTTGATGAAGCATGGTTAATTTTTCTCTTCCTCCCTTTCTGCACCACCTCTTCAACCTCCTGCTCCTGCTGTTCTTCTCCCCCAACTACATTCTCCTCTGACTCAACATCCTTCTCCTCAACCTCATGCCTTTCCTTCTCTACCACCATCCTCATCTCCTCATCCTCAACCTCGTCACTGAGTCCCTCTTTGTTCAGCCTCTCAATCTGACCAACAACTGAGAATAAGACTTCCCGGACAGCCTCATCCAGAGCGACCAAGAACTGTAGATCAATAGCAGAATGAGGTAGGTAGAAAGGGGTATTGGGATCAGCCTCGTCTTCCTCATACTCTATCACACGCTTAGACTCCCTATAGAGGAGCCCAATTCCTAGTATTACTGGCATTGCCGATGATGGCCCTGAGATTGGACAGGTCTGTAGCTTGTTTAAGCTGGCCATCAATGTCGCATATGAGGTGTGAATGTCCTCGGAAAGATAATTTTCGCTCCAAGACCAGTCAGCCCAGGTAGGCAAATCTTGGTGTCGCTCTGAAATTGGCTGTTGGACATATAAGCCATAAAATTGAAAACAGCACCAAGTGACACTAACATTCTGTTTGGCTAATATTGCCAGGTCCCTAGTGGCGTCCACAAGCTCCAAGTAGTTTTCATTCTTGCTAAGGGTTTCTAAAAATGTGTATCGGTCATTGATGGCAACATCATCTGGTGTTGTCTCATGAGCGGCCGGCTGTGTTGTACGTTCTGTGAAATGAGAGGCAAATGGAGCCGGCCGGCCTTGATCTTCTTCATCTAAGTCTAGGGTGCTCACTACTTTCGTCTTGGACTTCCCAGTGACCCGAATATCAGCATCCTTGGCCTTAATAAAGACAACTAGCTTCTGATTTGTAGCAGAACATCGTTCCCAATGCATCCATAGACGATTTACCTCCTCTGTCTTCATATGAGAAGGGTCTTTGACCACAAATCCTGTGGGAACTGAACCAGGTTCCAAATAATTGGACGGGCTGGCAGTTATCACGCCCCAAGGTACAGGTCTAGAGCCACCTGTGCAGACTTCTACAAACCATTGAGTCAATCAAATGTCATGCACATATTGAAGATGTTAGATCTTACTGTATGAAGTATGAAAGATACTTCTAATCAATTCGTGTTGGCCCTTGAGGCCAATACCATCACGAAGAGGAAGTTTTGCATACCCCTCATCATCTACTATGATTTCAGGTAAGACAGGTCCATCCTCACAGTCTGAAGCCGCATGGTCTGAATCCTCTGAAGGGTCTATCAATTTAATAGTCAGTGAGCATGATATTTAAAATCAAATGAAACACGTACAAAATTCAGTCTTAGACCATTCTCCAAAGGATTCAAATCCATTTGCAGCCCACTCCTTGATACCACTCGAGCTCACAGAAAATTTTTTCTTGGCATTCTGAGGTGTAGTTTCGTGTCTATAGTAGTTTAGTTAGTCTTGAGATTTCCATGTTGATTTGATGACTTACAGACTGACGGACAATGTCTGACTAGCTTTTTTCTTATGACTAACAAGCATTACTATGCGACAACCCATGGTGCGCCGAATTTGCTCTGCAAAATCTTCCAGAGTTTTCTTGAGGTTATTCTTACGATATCTCAAGCCAAAGTGTTAGACTGGAATAACTGTAGATTTGAAGTAAAACTTACATTGCCTGAGTTTCTTCTGGTGCCCCCTCCTCATTCCATTTCTTCATGGCAAACTTGACCTCCTGCTGTTGTGAAGGTGTCATGTTGTTGAACCACTCCCTGGCATTCCCAGTGCGGTACTTGATTGAATACTCCAAGCCTTTACTCTGTTGTTGGGCCTTGTCATATGAGTCGATCTCCTGCTTAAATAATTTCTGTGCTACATCCCACTCAGACAGGGGTTTCTTATAGAAAGATGGTTCTCTTGGGCGACTCGCTGCCTCACGTTCGTCTGCCTCTTCCTTGTCTTTGAGACTTTTGGCATAGTATTCTTTTATTGCCTGTAGGTAACATTTATGTATATCATCAGACAACTAAATACATGTACAGTATAAGAATTTTGTGACCTTTTTCAAGGAAGTAGGCAAGGCAATGGGTTCCTCTTGCTCATCTTGAGCAGCTAGTATGGCCCTCCGAATCTTCCTCACCACAGGCTTTCCAACAGATGAGGAACCTGCAGCAAAAATGGCCTTAGAGTGAAGGTCGAGAATTGGCTTAAAGGCAATAGACCAGTCGGTAGACATCGTAATTGATTCAAGATAAAAATTGCAGGTAGGCTGGTACAGGCGGTAGGAGGGTGGCTAGCCGAAATTAATTTGAACACCCATGTTTATCAACAATAACGTGTGACTTATGAAAAGTCACACGTTATTGTTGATAAACATGGGTGTTCAAATTAATTTCGGCTAGCCACCCTCCTACCGCCTGTACCAGCCTACCTGCAATTTTTATCTTGAATCAATTATCAAATTGGATATATTGAGACAGTCAAATTCACATCAAGTAACAAGATTAAAGGCACATTATACTTCCATTGAGTGGAGTTAGACAGTGTAGATAATAGACAAATTCACATCAGGTAAAAAGATCCAAAACACGTTATACTTCCATTGAGCGGTGAGGGTATCTAATCAAGTAAGATGAAGAAAAATGAAACATGAAGGGATGTACGAAAAAGCTAAGACAAAATAATTGTATCCTAATCCTCATCCTCATCAGGGACACTAGGCATGGGCCTCAAGACAACCGAAATCCAGCAGGAGCCAGGTCTTTTGCCTGGCAAAAGGATCCTGGAATGAGGTGGTTGTGAGAATACATACTTTTTCCTACATTGGCCATTCTTGCATTCAAAGATGTAATCTTTGTGCTTGTTGACAGAACACCAGGCGTTACTCCACCCACACTGTGGGCACTGGACCGGCAGGTACTGACCCCAGGGGCGAAGTTGGGAATGCGTCCAGGCGAACTTGGTAACGGCCAACGAACCTGAGTTGTCAGGCATCAGCAAGAACACGTCAGTGTGGCGCCCAAGTTTGTAGGACTGGCCCAACATGTCAGGGAAGACGATGTGAATGGGCAAACACTCGATGATGACCAGCTCCGCGAATGCGAGCAAAAGGTGGGTGGCGAAACTCGGCTGAAAACGAACAGCATTAAAGCCAATAGTGGCTGTGATGCGATGACTGTTAGGGTTAGTTAGTATTTGCAAAGATAAGATCAAATGGACTTACTCTATGACCGCCTGTTGCAAGCCTGAAAAGGAAGTGACGTTGTTGATGAGCGCGCCACACGAAAACAGCCATAAGTATGATTCCGCGGCACCATGAATCAGGGGATGCCAAGGTGAAAGCAGAACATCGAGAACCTTTGGTGTCAAATGAGCAAATACAATGTTAGTCAAAAAAATGCCACTTACAGAGTGAACGCGTGCCGAAACGTATGACTTCTTGTTGCCCTCGTACCCAATAAATGGATCTCCATGCTCGTTGTCGGTGTGGTTAGTGATGGCGACGACGACACGAGCCCAGTTGGAGCTCATCAGCGACTGGATGATGGCAGTCGCCTGCAACCGGTACTCGTCGATCTTTGAGGCATTGCCGATGTCGAACACGATGGACCGAAATTCAAACCCTCCGCTGGGGAAGTATGGCCGAAGGAATTCGGAGGCCAGTTCGAAACAGCCGCCGGTGACGTCGTGGTCGACGAGGACGAGATGGAGCATGAGCGTGGGTGCCGAAGACAGTTGGGAATGGAGTGAAACCTCCAACGTAGCACGAATTTGGAGGAATGAAGGAAGGAGCGGTTGCCCCTTCCTGTAAAAACCCTATAAAATGAAGTGAATGTTAGTTAGCATGAAATAAACGAAAAAACTTACAAAATAGGGCGACTGAGATGCGCGCCCGTGTCGTTCCATGCCAACATGGCAAGATATGCAGACGAACGTGACGTCATCGGCCTGCACCGCGTGTGCACTGGCAGGCGGGATGTTCATGCAGTTTGAACACATCACCCGCGGACAGGTGCTGCAGAGGAAGAGGCAATCTTCCCCTACAGAACCGTCTCTGCAGATGAGACAAAACTGCAAATAAAGACGCGTGTTAGTGCAAATAGTAGGTAACTAATCACTTACCTCGTTGTGTTCAGACGGCTCTCTCACATTCAGCTCACCCGGCGCAGTGACCGCTCCAGTAGATGCCGGCAACGACAAGGCAATTCGTGGCGCGGTGCCACCGGTGGACTTCTTGCAGGTTTGTTTAGACTTCACCATGGTGAAGAGAGACTATTATAGATATATTCAAATTAGTAGATGACACGGCAAATAGCACTTACAGTTATGTAGTTCAAACAGATGCAAAGAGAGGAGAGCGCCGGCTGAATGTACTTAGAAAGAAATGAACAAGTTTGAACGTTGGTTGATTGTGACAAACAGATCCAAATAGTCACGTGATTATCAACAATGAACTCAACAGCGTCATAATATTGGCTAATCCACAATTCAACGCGTCGCGTGTCAAAAATCCACTCAACACGCGCCGGCACGTGTTGAGTGGATTTTTGACACGCGACGCGTTGAATTGTGGATTAGCCAATATTATGACGCTGTTGAGTTCATTGTTGATAATCACGTGACTATTTACAAACAATAACAAACTGACACGTGAATATGAACAACAACAATCAGTTCTCACGGTTCAATCTCTTCTTTCGTCTTACCTTCATCATTCTCCTTCATCCTTTATTTCTGCCAGTGCCGTTACTTCAGGGCGACTTCCGGTGTACTCCTTTGGGTTCTTGCAGACTGCAGCTGCAAGAATTCAAAGGTACTACCCTACAGTCGCCCTTCAAACATAGTAAGTTCAACTTTGGTGGTGCGCCTACTTACTAACTGTTTTCATTTACATATACTCTCTTTCCCTTGAGGTTTCTCAAGGTAAGTACTTAATTGCTCACACCCGCTTGCTAATGTCTGTTGTACTTAGGATTTTGGAGACTTTGGATGGCGCAGTGACAGCCACTCCTCCCTTTGAGCGCCCTCCTGGCAGTTCCCTAACGTAAGTCCTTCTTTTCCCGTGTCTGCTTGCTAACGTTTGTTCTATTTAGGATTATACTTACGAATTTCGGGACTTTGGATGGCAGTTAGAGCCACTCCTCCCTTTGAGCGCCCTCCAGTTCCCAACGTAAGTCCTTCTTTTCCCGCGTCCGCTTGCTAACGTTTGTTCTATTTAGTATTATACTTACGAATTTCAGGACTTTGGATGGCGCAGTTAGAGCCACTCCTCCCTTTGAGCGCCTTCCAGTTCCTTAAACGTAAGTCCTTCTTCTCTCGCATCCGTTTGCTAATGTCTGTTCTATTTAGTATTCTGCTTATTGGAACTGGGGGTTGCGCAGTGCATGCCACTTGTCAGTGGCTCCTGCTTATAGGAACTGGGGGTTGCGCAGTGCATGCCACTTGTCAGTGGCTCCTGCTTCTTGAAATTGGCGGTAGCGCAGTGCATGCCACTTGTTAGTGGCTCCTGCTTATTGGGACTGGGGCTCAGCGCAGTGCATGCCACTTGTCAGTGGCTCCTGCTTCTTGGAATTGGCGGTATTGCAGTGCATGCCACTTGTTAGTGGCTCCTGCTTATTGGGACTGGGGCTCAGCGCAGTGCATGCCACTTGTCAGTGGCTCCTGCTTCTTGGAATTGGCGGTATCGCAGTGCATGCCACTTGTCAGTGGCTCCTGCTCCGACTTTTTAATAGCCTGCTCCAACTTTTTAATGGTGGTAAGCGCTCAATTCCTGATGACCTTAACTGATCTGTTTTGTTCTCTAGACTGCTGAACCTGCCGGTACTTTTGTGTGGCAAGTGCTCTCTAGTTAAGTGTTAATCTTGTTTTAAATTTCGGTCTAACGTTTCTACAGGACAAATTTGTATTGTATTATATATCTATTTGCTACATACATTTTCACCTGGAGTGTTGAGGCTTTGGTGAGGAGGGCCCCCTCATTGAAGTCTCGCCTCCCCTTTTGTATTTGTTACTTTATTTGTTTGCTTACTTGTAGTAAAATTTATTGTCACTCGTACTTTGTATTTGAAAATGTATGTTGATGGATGCACTTTATTTGCTGCCGGCTGAAAAGGTCACGTGACCGTGTGTATATTAGCAAAGAGCCTTATTAAGAAAGCAAGCGCAAAAGCACAGTAGTGTATAATAATCAAACGCTGCACAGACCAAAGCAACTATTATCTACTACATGTCTTAGATAGATAATGTGTTATGTAGATCTCAATTCTGCCTTGATGCGGCTCACCATTGACATGCTGAAGGACACTATCATTGATTATTGTCTGCCAGTCAAAATATACTATTGGCATAGGCAGATGGTGGCAGAACACTAGGACAAGTAGCCATGACGCCATATGATACAAACTTCCCTTCCCGGTCAGAAGGTTGATTCTTCTTTGAAATTGCCTTCTGACCACAGAGGGGAGTCATCATATGGCGTCATTGTCACCATCTGCCTGGGCTGCTAGCATATTTTGGACTGACGGACATTCTCAATACCCTACAGGCCGCTTAGAGGCTAGCCCGCCCTCAAAACTGTTCGTGTTAAGAGTTCTGCCTCAGAGGTAATACTTAGTTAGCTACACCTATACTGTAGGGTATTGAGAATGTTTTCTTCGGTTAACAAAGAAAACATTTTCAATACCCTACAGTATAGGTGTAGCTAACTAAGTATTACCTCTGAGGCAAAACTCTTAACACGAACAGTTTTGAGGGCGGGCTAGCCAGTATATGCCTCAGAGGTAACCTCAGAGGTATCTCCAAACTGTTCGTGTTAAGAGTTCTGCCTCAGAGGTAATACTTCGTTAGCTACACCTATACTGTAGGGTATTGAAAATGTTTTCTTTGTTAACCGAAGAAAACATTCTCAATACCCTGCAGTATAGGTGTAGCCAACTTACCTCTGAGGCAGAACTCTTAACACGAACAGTTTTGAGGGCGGGCTAGCCTCTAAGTGGCCTGCAGGGTTTCTCAATACCCTGCAGTATAGGTGTAGCTAACTTACCTCTGAGGCATATACTGTAGGGTATTGAAGATGTTTTCTTTGTTAACCGAAGAAAACATTCTCAATACCCTACAGGCCACTTAGAGGCTAGCCCGCCCTCAAAACTGTTCGTGTTAAGAGTTCTGCCTCAGAGGTAAGTTGGCTACACCTATACTGCAGGGTATTGAGAATGTTTTCTTCGGTTAACAAAGAAAACATTTTCAATACCCTACAGTATAGGTGTAGCTAACGAAGTATTACCTCTGAGGCAGAACTCTTAACACGAACAGTTTTGAGGGCGGGCTAGCCAGTATATGCCTCAGAGGTAACCTCAGAGGTATCTCCCCTCCATGGTCAGAAGGGAAGAGTCAGCCTTCTGATGGTGCAGGGCAGTTTGTATCATATGGCGTCATTGCTACTTGTCCTGGTATCCTCCGGATGCCAATTTACTATTATACACTACTGTTTTTGTGATTGCATTCTTAATAAGTGAGTCCTTGCTGTCTCTCAAGGCGTTGAACTCCAGCTGGAAGTGTCTCCTGTTATTTGAGACAGGGATCCCACAGTGTAGTCCCAGATTCAGAATATCATTCATTCTTCTGTGGTAGTCTGCCAATATTAGTCTTCACTCTTCCAGCATCTGAGCGAGTTATTACAGTACTAATTATGTCACAATCTGGGCAAGACTTCATTTAATCAGTCTTCCATCAGTAGATTCCATTCATATATCCAAATTTGATCGCGGGACAATTTTTTCGGAAACTTCATTTAATCAGTCTTCCATCAGTAGATTCCATTCATATATCCAAATTTGATCGTGGGACAATTTTTTCGGAATCATTTCATATAAGTTAAATTGAGTCTTGATCCGAACGAGCTGGTTGAAAATTTTCCTTGCTCACCATGGACCAACAAATGAGTCAATCAATCAAGCTGAGAGCAGCTCTGACCACAAGGATCAAGGAAATTATGGGAAAATCATCAGCAACAGGGATCTTCAGAGGGGGGATATTGCAAACTCACCTTCTACACAAAGCAAGGTGAGAGGTTATATTTAGGGCCTTATTTGATCCGCTCTATTAAATGGTCTCACTTAAGATTAAGAATTGGACATGAGCTAGACAGTTGCTTAGCAACACGTGATGTCAACTTCCATGCTTCTGCGTCAATCTCAGAATATGAGATCAATCGAGCTGCACTGACAGTTGCCCATGCAATGGTAAATCCTTGTGAGTTGTTTCACTCTGCAAGATATCACCTGGTTTTAAATTCACATCATTTGCAGATTATGTGGATTGGGATGTTGACAGATTTGCCGAAATGGCCAAAGTCTCTACACCTAAATCTGATGGTCCCCTCGCTAATACCAATCAGCTACCAAAGTACTTTTCTGCAGCTATGATCGGTAAAATTTCAGCACCAGCTACTATTGTGGACAGGCAAGGTAAAATTTTAACAATTTACTTGCCAAATATTCTGTCTTCTTCTCGGGTTGTATGTTCATTCTTCCTTGGGAATTCCCCTCATCAATTGATAAATTAAATTAGGAATATGTGAACTCAGCCACTAAGGGTTTACAGACTTTACTTCTTGAAACAATTACGTCCTCCACCCAACAGTCTTGGCGATCTCAAGGCTTTGTTGTCCCAGAGGGGGGTGGAGAATTTGGAGCAGGCAGAGTCACAGTATCACCAGCATATTTTATGCAAAGACACGAGGTATAGGCCAAATTTAGTGGTTGTTTAGCTACTTTTGACTTTGTTTGATTTCATTTGCAGAGACTGGAAGACCCAATGGTTACCTCGGCTTCCTATAAGTCTGTGGAAGTCCAAGAGTGGCTAGCTGCTTTATCAGCTACTGAATCTTTCTGGAATGCCATTACCGCTGTATCGGTTCCAGATCTATTCGAAGCAGGCACCTTGGCAATCACTCGTATTATTGAGGAACTTCAAGGTTCTGATAGAACATCACCACCCATCTGTGATTGGCCCTCGATCTTCTCAGGATTGGAAATAATTGCAAATCGTACAACTTTATCACACAGAGATTCTGGTGGCACACCTTCTCTTTTTGATCTTCTGATTAGTTTAGGCAGTGGCCATGAGGCTAAGTTGACATTAGCAGATGTTGGGGCCGAACTGGATTATTACCCTGGGACAATGGTCTTCATTTCCGGGAAGGTTTTACAACATTCTATTGGTCCATGGGGTCCGGGAGAAAGGCTCGTTATTGCCCATTTTATGAGGGATAAAATCCACTCTAGATGCGGGGTATCCAGACCCCCCTTTCCAACACAGGCCTATTTTTTGCAGATGGTGGGGCAGCAGGATAGTTATTTGTTGTGACAAGTAGATGATAAGAAAGGAGTGGTTCTTGGAGGAGGAGGGGTGGAATGGGACAAATCAAGTGTTTGACAGTATACCTACTAGATTAGTTGATGTGATCTAGTGATTCCTATGAATGGTTTCAACTATCAAAAATAGAATGTTGATAATATCAATTTTTCCCCCCACACGTAACCCTATGTCTCCCAAGAAAAAAACTCGACTCAAGGCAGCTACATTTTCCTTCCAAGGAAGAGGTCGTTTGTCTAAAGGCAAGGACCTTGATGTTGCCTATGTGTCTCATAAACAAGTCATTGGAAAGAGAAGGAAGCCAACCTGGGTGGAATCATGCGCTGATAGCCTTTATGACACTGCCCCAACACCATCTCCATCCTCCAGCCCTCGTAAACGTATTAGAGAAGACACTCAAGGGTTGCAAAACAGTCATGAAGATTTTGATAGACAAACCCTTGGTGACTTTGTTTCCTATGTAGAGAACTCACAAAGAAAAACCAAGGCAAGCATAGTGATTCAGTGTCTTTTAATGATGTACTAAATAGAGATTATTACAACCAGACACAAAATGACTTCATCCAAGAATATCTGCCTTTCCGAGACTTGTACTTGGATATTCTCCTTGACTTGGAGAAACCCTCCGATGTATCCCAGTGCCAGTCTTGTCAGATTGGTGAAGGGAAATTCCGCTGTTTGACTTGCAGTGGAGATCAGACATTCTGTCGTTCTTGCATTGTCAATGCTCACCAGTTTTTGCCCTTCCACAAGGTTCAAGAGTGGACTGGGAAATGCTTCAACGACACATCACTTGAAGAATTGGGTTTTATCTGGTATATGGGCCATGGGGGACAACCATGTCCATTTTCTGACGACATGCATGCATGGAAGAATATTCCGATGGACGCAGAGGCCAATTTTTCACCAATGGAGACAGTTCATGGTTCAACTATACCAACCAAGTTGACCATTGTACATTCCACTGGAGTGTTTTTGCACAACGTTGTCTGGTGCAGCTGTCCTGGGGTCGATTGTCAGCAGCATTTGCAATTGCTGAAAGCTAAATTATTTCCAGCCAGTACCACTCGACCACAGACTGCCTTTACTTTTGATGTCCTCAATCATTTTCTAATTGATGCACTGGAGTGCAAGACTTCAGCATCCAGCTTCTTTGAAAAAATCCGTCGAATGACCAATAACTGTTTCCCAGATACTGTTCCTGTAAGTCTTATAAGTCTTCTTGGTGAAAGTTAAACTAACAGTACCAATTTGTTTTTCTAGAATCGATATCGAGAACTTATGAGAGTGTCTCGACTGTGGAGAGACTTGATGAGTCGAAAATGGTTTGGCTTTGCCCATAATGATGAGCAGAAACCGGACAAGGGTGATCTGGCTTGGTTTTGCCCTGCTTGTCCACAGCCTGGGATTAACCTACCTCCTGACTGGCAAGCCAGATATGAAAGGCAAGTCATTTATCCATCTCATTCTAAGGAGAGGCGACTCAATTTCTCTACCACACTTGAGAATATCATACTCACTGGCTAGCCCTACACTGCATAGTGTACGAGAGCTCCGGCCGGACTGACTTATGTTCTAATCAAGCTGGCCAGCATGGCATAGACTGGATGTAAAACCAGGCCGGCCAGCACATTAAATTGGCTTACTAGCTTGACACAGATAGCATGCATAACCATGCTGGCCGGTTAAACTGAGGTGCATAGATGTCACTCAAAGACATGCCAGCCAGAGAGTTGGTCCGGAGAGAGACTTCTACTTTTCTTTTTTGCACATTTTTAACCTTATGCTTACCTGTTTGTACAGTTGGCTTGTTTCACAAAGATATGTGGTAGACGGGAACTTCACTGCTCAACATATGGTAATGAGAAAACCACAGTTGGACATTAGTTTGTCAGACGGGCTTGGGTATATGGTGAAAGATCAAGAATACCAGACTCATCTGTCATCGGCTGTAGAAAGTAAAGAGGTGAGTTGGCTCATGACAACCACTTTTCGTTCATGCTTCACTATCTTTGTAGCGGTCTTCTTGCAGCAATCATCGTGCAGTAAATGCAGCCAATATCAGCAGGAGCAATCTTCGAGCTACAGGTGTAGGAGCAACTGCTTGTGCTCGACATGGATGCTTTGTTCCTCATAGTATAGTTGATTTTCAGAAGGGCGAAAGGTCTGTGTATGTCCTCCAAATCAACATGTTATGCAAGCTCAGGTAATTTTTAGACACATGAATATCGACTACTCAATATGCAATGCATTGAATTATCATTCAGCTGGTATAGACTCTTCCCTCATCATTTATGATGTGGGGTGTCAGTGGAGCATTAATTTTCTACAGAGAGTAGCCCAGAGCAAGGGCTTGTCTGTACCTGAAAATATGCACATCGTTCCAGCAGTTGGAAAATTCCATCTTAGCGCTCACAAATTAGCTTGCTTTGCAAGGTACAGCCTCAACTTTATTCAAGGGGCTGGACATGTTGATGGGGAGATTTTGGAGACTCTGTGGGCACCATTCAATAAGATCTCCCCAACTGCTCGGTCAATGAGTCAGGCTCACCGTCAAGAAGTTCTTGATGATCATATGCGAGACTCAAACTGGAAAAAAATAGTGGGAATAAGTAAGCCCTCCAAATTTTGCATTTGAACAAGCTTGACAATTGAGCTTCCAGTGAAGACTCTCTTGAAAAAGTACAAACGGGCTCTCAAAGGTGTTGATGACACAAAGTCTCCCTTTGACGAGCTCACTCTGTCTCTGGACCCTGAGAAGATTTCGATATGGAAGATCGATGAGAAAAAGGCCATGGAACAACGTGGAGAGTATCTTGACATCTATCAGTTGCAGATGAACAAAGGTAAGTGAACTCTGTCTAGTTGTGAGGCTGCTATTCTTGTATAGACATCTGATCAGTATTTGTATCTAGCTCCAACTATGGCAGAGATTAGACTCAAATTAACTGAGTCTGAGAATACCGACACTAGCAAACCTGGGACAGTCTCTTGGCTCATTACTGGCATCAATCTGGAGGATTTACAGTATGTAACCAATAAAAATAGAGAACCCGTTTGACATAGTACTATTTTAGGGATGGACTAAGGGCAGATATTCGACAACTTCCTACTGATGCAACCCCAGGACAGAAAGTTTCTATAGAAGAGAAGCGACAGAGATTGACAGCTAGGATAGCTAAATTTCATGAAACAGCTGATGCCATGACTGCTGGTATGGATCTTGGAACTGCAACAGTGCATTCCGACGATCCTAGATTCTGCTATGCAGGTCATGATGAAAATGGTTGGGGAGAGGTCTCAGATGAAGAGATCTCAGAGTATATTGACGAAGAAATCTTGGCTGAAGAGATGGGTATCTGGATGCCATCATCAGTGCCCTACCAGGATGCATTGGCTCTCGGACTGGGTCCCCTCCAAGCTGAAGAATTAGAACTTCGAAAGGGCCAAGCCAATGACTGCCTCGAAAAGCTTCGAATGGCCCTTGGTCATAAGGCCATCATCTATCGTCAGTATTTTCGAAGTGCTAATTCTACATGGGCTGGGACTAGGTCAAATCAAGAAGCTCAACGCTGTCAGCTCAAAATTGACAAGTGTGTAAGAAGCTATCAGAGGGCAAGGTCAGCAATGGAAGGTCTAGGCATGGACAAAGCCACCTTGGGGAGTCTTTATCAGCCAATATCGCCTACAGAGCTCAGTATAGACAAAGAGGTGACAGAAGAAAATAGATTTGGACAAGGGTCAGACAGGCTGGCTTGGTTTTGGAGGGGAAATAATGCAAGCCAAGGTCAAGACGATGCCTGGATAGATGAATGTAAGAAAAAATCTTTATCTCTATGATATGTCACTAAAGCTCCAACCGATCTAGTCTACAGGGTGAACTGGTTGAAGGCTAAGGCTAGATGGAATAGATGGCAAGAGGAATTAAGGCTGGTAAGACATGAAATGGGTGGACCATAAACTGGTTCAAGTACCACCAGAATGAATGGGAGAGAAGGGGTGGCCAAGCCACCAGACCTGGTCATCAAGCCTATGCTTATCAGCAGGTCTTGATGTGGGGAAGATTTGTTGAGGAGGCAGAGAAAAATTTCAATGGATGTCAATTTATACTTTGATCTGGTATACTGTCTTTGCTAGGAAAAATATGACAGGATAATTCTCAATGCTAATGAATGACAAGGTAGCTTAGCTAGCACTAGCTCCACTCTATGTAGTCCACAGCTGGCCGAGATAATTGTATTTAAGATATGGACTGGCCAGATGGTTCCTACAGCATGTATGTACATGGCTGGCCCTTATAAGAGTATATAACTAGCTTATATCTACCCTATGCAGTCCATGTAATTCTGATACCAATAACTGGTTAGCCTTGATTCTACAATAGACAGAATCAAGTCGGCCGGTATGAAATGTTGAAACCAATAACCAGCCAGTCTTGATCATACATGTCGTAGGAACTATCTGACCAGTATACAAATCTGAAACCAATGACTGATCAGCCTTGATTCTACTATTGTACAATTAAACCGAGCAATATTAAAACTAATAACTGGCCAGTCTTGATTCTACATGTTGTAGAATTAAACCGGCCGGGATGCAATGTTGGAATTGAAAACCAGCCAGTCTTGATTCTACTGTTGTAAAATCAAACCGGCCGGAATGCAATGTTGTGATTGAAAACCGGCCAGTCTTGATTCTACTATTGTACAATTAAACCGGCCGGGATGCAATGTTGTGATTGAAAACCGGCCAGTCTTGATTCTACATGTTGTAGAATTAAACCGGCCGGGATGCAATGTTGTGATTGAAAACCGGCCAGTCTTGATTCTACTATTGTACAATTAAACCGGCCAGGATGCAATATTAAAACTGATGACTGGCCAGTCTTGATTCTACATGTTGTACAAGCTATCTGGCCAGTATGAAATTCTGTAACTAATGACTAGTATAGAAATTACAAAACAATAATTAGCTAGTCTTGATTCTACTAT